TGTAACAAGAGCTATAAAATTTTTCCTGCCTGCTAGGTAAATATTATGGGTAATGAGCTATAAGATAATAGCCCAAATGAAGAAAGTAATTTATATAAAGATATTCAGTGCAGAAAAACAAAAACCACATGAATGTATACAAAAGGAGTGTTTGAGCAAACTGGTATAATACACAACAGAATAACTACAATTGCTATTCAAAGTGGTAGGTGAAATAATGTAAACAGAATAATAGGAAAAGGTACATAGAAAATGTAGAACATAAGAAAATATATGTATACAAACATCTGTATTTTGAAAATGTGGAGAGAAAGAAATCATGTATTGAGTTCTTTTCTTTTTTTTTTAAATTTATTTATTTTTTTGAATTGATTATGCTGTTACAGTTGTTCTATTCCCCCCCTCTATTCCCCTCCACCCTGCCCCCCAACCCCACCATTACCCCCCTTTAGTTTATGTCCATGTGTCTCAAGTCCTTTAGGTTCTATATTTCCCAAACTATTCTCGCCCCCCCATCTATTTTCTATCTACTGTCTATGCTACCTGTTTTCTGTACCTTCTCCCCCCATCTCCTCCTCCCATTCCCCTGTTGCTAACCCTCCTTGAGATCTTCATTTCTATGTTTCCACTCCTGATCTAGCTGTCCTTTTAGTTTGCTTTCGTTTTAGGTGTGGTTGTTAATAACTGTGAGTTTGTTGTCCTTTCACTGTTCATGTTTCTTTAATTTCTTTTTCTTAGATAAGTCCCTTTAACATTTCATATAATAAGGGCTTGGTGATGATGAACTCCTTGAATTTGATCTTATCTGAGAAGCACCTTATCTGTCCTTCTGTTCTAAATGAAAGTTTTGCTGGATAGAGCAATCTTGGTTGTAGGTCTTTAGATTTCATGACTTGGAATATTTCTTTCCAGCCCCTTCTTGCCTGTAAGGTCTCTTTTGAGAAATCTGCTGACAGCCTGATGGGGACTCCTTTGTAGGTGATTGTCCCCTTAGCTCTTGCTGCTTCCAGGATTCTTTCCTTCATTTTAATTTTGGCTAATGTAATTATGATATGCCTTGTGTGTTTCTTCTTGAGTCCAACTTTTTGGTACTCTCTGGGCTTCTTGGATTTCTTGGAAGTCTATTTCCTTTGCCAGATTGGGGAAATTTTCTTTTATTATTTGTTCAAATAGTTTTTCCACTGGTGGTTGTGTCTTTCCCCCTTCTGGTACCCCTATAATTCGGATATTGGAGCGTTTAAAGATGTCCTGGAGGTTCCTAAGACTCTCCTCATTTCTTTGAATTCTTGCTCCTTGACTCTTTTCTGTTTGTCCATTATTTGCTTTCTTCTGGTCCACTGCATTGATTTGAGTCCCAGTTTCCTTTTCATCTCTATGGGATTCCTGTGGAATTCCATTCATTTCCCTTAATTTATCCTCCATATGTTTCTCTAATTTGTGGCTGTAATCCACCAGATCTGTGAGAAAGGTGATGACCAGTGTTTTAAACTGTGCGTCTGAGAGTTTTGCTATTTCTTCGTCATTTAGATTTATCTCTGGGGCTTTGAGTTCTGCCTGCGACATTTTTGGTCTGTTCTGGCCCTTTAAGTGGGACAAGCGGCGCCTTGGAGTCCCAGGTCGCTGGGTTGTGACGCTGTATGTGGGGGCGTGGTCAGAGCGGGAAATGGGGCCCCGCCGCCGCTGCCGGGCTGGTCCAACCGCTCACTCCCTCACTCGCGCGCAACCAGGCAACCACAGTCAACTCGTTGCCACCGCCTCCCCACTGTGTCGCTCCCCCGGTGGGCTGCTCGGTGGCTCACCAGGTCCAATCCTGGGCTTGGAACGCGACTGGATTCGCGCGTCTGGATTCCGCGCCCGGTCCGACCGAGCCCTCCTTTGTAAGTCCTCACCCGACGCCGGTTTCGCCCCTTACCGGTCAGGCTGAAGAATTTGTTGTTAGCGGACTTCCGAAAAGTTCAGTTTTCCGTGTTCTGGTTGTGTTTTGTGATGCTAATATTTAGTTGTCCCTAAACTTGGTTGTGTGAGGAGGCAGGCACATCCAGCTAAACCTCCATCTTGGCGGAAGTCAAGTAGGTTCAATTTGCTTGGACCACCACCTTTTGTTTTTATTTTTAAATACTGCTAAGCCATACTTCTTCTGTTCTGTGCTTGTGTAGCTGGTTATTTGTACCAAAGTTGAGCAAACTAGGTAAGAGGAATGAGGTTTATGCTGGGTTTCTAGTCTGTGTCTGTTATTTACCAGCTGTGTGACTTTGGGCAGGTTACAGAACCTCTCTGAATGTCATTTTCATTGTATGTAAATGGCAGTCTGAGGAGTAACCGTTCCACGGAGTTGTGAGAGCTAAATGACCAGTGATTATGATGGCACTCAGCACACTACTTGGCTCCTTGTAAGCCCTCAGCAATATTTGCTATTATTATTGTATCTACTCTTACCTATTATTAATATCTTAGCCTTGTTATTGGGTCTTCTTTCTCTTATTAAATGTAATTTAATTCAAATCTCTTCCAATACTGTGTCAACCATAATAATAATTTGCATGGATTCTATATCTTTCTTTGAAATTCTCTGATGTTTTCTATCACAGAGGTGAAGAGACAGACAGGGTCAGTCTCTCCTATAGTTTCCAGTCCACTGAGGAAGAGAAATAATGAATTATTTATGTGATAAGTCTTCTGTGCCTGCTGAAGTCATTCCACCAATACTCCACTCTAACACAAATTCCCTGTCTTTGCATTCAGTCTGTATTTGTGGGAATAGATGGGAACATCATAAATGATCCCGCAGAATACCACACAGATGTCCATAGGAGAGCAACTAGGGTGAGAATTCAGATCCAGCTCACAAAAGCAAGGGCTGGAGGACATGGTCGTATCTAGTGGGAGAGAGAGGGAGAGGGGGAGAGAGAGAGTTGTTGAGGTGCTACAAATAGTAGGAGATGCTAAAGGGGGTGCCAGTTTGGAGGGTGAGTTAGTGGGGATGGAGAGAAGGCAGCCATAGTTGGCAGGAAGTTCCCATGAGGCCGATGTCATGCTGGTGGGAAGGGACCTGGAAGCAGGGATTTCGAGCAGTCCGTGCCGACACCTCCTGGACCTGCTGTGACTGGCAGGAAGTGGTGACTCCCTTGCAGGTTTTCTCAGGAATTAACCCCAAACATCAATCTTTATTAAAGATGAAGAAATGGATCTTTGATAAATGAACATTGAGAGTCAGGTGTGAAGGAGGTAGAGGCCTATTTAGGGGAAGAAAGAGAAGAGAAACAAAATCCAAGCAGGATTTTTTACTTTCTGAAAAAGCTGTTACTGTGTTAATGTAGGTCTTTCATAAAAGTGAAGTTGTGCAACATGAACTTCAGGTTAGTGGAAGACACCTGTACTCCTCTGTTCCCTTCTCTAGAATAACAGAAATTTCCAGCAATAATTAGAATTTCACAAAAATCAGCTAAGTTGAAATTTTGATATCTCTGGTAGGATTTCTTCTCCAGCTCCCATGAATGCTCTGGGTCACTAAGGTTCATCTTGAAGGCAGGGGTTTGGGGAACGAAGCCTTGGGTAAACTTGAGCCCATAAGAAGCGGATGAGGTGTGCCTCTCTCTAGAAATAGAATAGATTTCTCATCTACAGTAGAAATTGTCTTTGCATTGTTCACTGTTCTACTGAGCAATCTCAATGTGCCATTGCCACACATGCTGCATAAATGTGTCAACACAGTTTAAAGCTGGTTATTGTTTTGGTCTTAGGTTACGGGGCATAGCAGGGAAGAAAATAACACAAAATGCCTGATATCATGGACCTTAAAGTCTAGTGGAGTGACAGACAGCAAAAGAGCAAATATGTGTTTGTCAGAAGTTGGTAAGCACAGTGGACAACTCTGAAGTGGGGTGGAGTGGTGGGCGTGGTGCGTTACTCCGTTTTGGGTCGAGGGAGGGCCTTACTGAAAAAGTATCATTTGAATAGAGACCTGGAGGAAGTCAGAGGAGAAATTTTGGGAGAAAATTATTCCAGGCAGAGAGAAAAGAAAGTGCAAAGGCCCCGAGGCAGGAGTGTTCCAGAATCAACCAGGGGGATTTGTCTCTGAAGGACAGTGGGCAAGAGGGAGCATGGCAAGACGTGAGACCAGAGAGGGAGCAAGGGGAAGGATGAAGGTGAGGACTTCAACTGGACTCTGCACCAGATGGGGTACCCATTGGGGACTGGAGCAGAGGGGTAACGTGGCCCGACTTGCATTATAAAAGGCCTCTTCCGTCAGCAGTGGGCTTGTGTTTGTGGTAACTATGACCTACCTGTGTGGGAATCATGTGGACGGTAAATGGAAGTTTGCGAGGAAGATGGGAACAGCAATTTCAGCATTGGCTTCTACACCAATATCCAGGCATCATGGCATTGGACGAATCATGCAGGGATGGACTGTAGGTAGAAGAGACTGAGTGCTGGGGCCCCTGGCACAGAGGATGTCCAGCAACAGAAGGAGTAGCCAGTGTGGGGACCCAGAGGGCGTTTCATGGCCTAGCTGCCGAGAATACATTATCACCCCCTCTAAACACAAACATTTTTTTCAGATAAGTATCATTAAATTTGATTTGCTAATTAATACAACCCAAAACATACAATGTTATAGCTATCTATTCAGGAAACATTCTATTCTATTGTGAAAGCATTATGAATAGAGCATAGGAGCATGACTGTACCAGTGGTTGGCGATGGAGGCTTCTCCCTGGCTGGTGGAATGAACCTTGGAACTTTACTGCACACGGAACGAGAACTGCAGAACGCCCACCAGGGACCTGCTCTGGCGTGGAGCTTTGGGGGACTTTTCACTGCCTGTGCCTCTTTCTAGACATTTCTCATCAGAATTGCTCATGTGTTCATTTCCCAACATCTTCTTTTGGTGCCTTCTATTTTTCAGAATCGCTTTAAAATGCATTCTTCCTTACTTTGGATTTTTGCTCAGAAATTTAAGGTTTATTACAGAACATTATTTTGGGAGTTAAGAAAGTGGACCTTAGATCCATCCACCCCTCATAACCTGGTAGGGGTCATTTCTACACTTACAACAATAACATACATGACAGACACCATGTTGAGATTTGACGGTGGAAGATTCATTGCCGAATTATAAAAATCACGCCCTACTCTTTGGCTTTCATTTCTTTTCCTCCATGAATCTTGAAGGAGATCTCTCTTCATCACTTCCTTGTACATGCTCACTCCTTTGGAGGATTATTTTAATGTCCTAAGAGAAGAGATTCAAAGAGAAGTTACTAACGTTTGTAAGCGATTTAGGATTAATGGTCAGGTAACGTGGCAGGGATTTCAACAGTAAGCTGCTTTTCATTTTCTCCCTTTGATAAAATCATTCTCTATTTAGAGTAAATCCTGCCCTACAACTTACTTGTTGTAGATGCGGAAAAACTACCAGAGAGCTTGGAGCCTGCTTTTCCTCACCTAATGGTAGAGTTTTCACTTTAGATTAAATAACATTGGTAGAAGCAGTTACACAGAGTTTGGCACATAGTGGGTAAGTCAAAGGTTATTTCCCTGTTAATAAATAAGAAACAGGACTCACCTTCTATTAAAGGAGAATCCTAATGCCAAGTAAATCCTGCTATGGATTTATAGAATTTAGGCCAGCAGATTAGTGAGGAGTTGGGGATGTGCTCATTTCTTCATTTTTTAAAAATATATGCAAAGTGGAAGAATATGTTTTTATCCACTTAAAACACCCAGCTTGCTTACATTTTACATCTCAGATATGTTTAAAAATAAACTTAAAATACTATCACAACATAGGAGGGATACAACACATGAGGAAAATGTAGAATTACGTTTACACGGTGTCTAGGTCTCCCTCCCCTCCAAGAGCTAAGGGTCCAAATTTCTTTTCTTCAGAGCTGCGTTCCAGAGGTTTCTACCTGACTGTGGCCATTTCACTCATGAAGACATGAGTTAGTTCTGCCGGGTGACACACACGATGCTGACACCAGTCCCTGCCAGGAATCACAATGAATCATTGTCTTGAGGGGACTTTTCTTTGAAAACGCAGATCTCCCACAGCCACAGGCCACTGTGGAGTGAACTGAGTGAAAAAGGAAGGCCGCTCGCTGGGGCTGGGCCCTCCCACGGCAACTGCAAAGAGCGCGTCTTCTGTGGACAGACACTGACGGAACCGAAGCTGTGGCCTGTCAGCCTGGGGGTGAGGGTGGAGTGGCCCTGGGATGATCTGATGCTCTGTGGCATGGGGAGAAGGCCAGATGCCAGATATTCAAACCAACCGTGACTGTAGCTGAAATCGAGGGCGTAAGTCTCAGGAGCAGTTAACTGGGAAAAGCTTGGCTGACCGAGTGGACACGTTTGACCTGGGCGCTTTGGAAACACGAAGCACTGAAGCTAACATGTCCATTGTTTTGTTATAAAGACAAAGGAGGAGGTTGAGCATACTTAAAGTCAGACACCTTGAAGACAGAATAGGATCCAAGTCCCTTCAAATCGCACTTCCATTTTACAGGTGTTCTGTTTTCATGTTGTTTGATCTATACAGAAATTTTCCTGTAATGTTCTAATTTTAATACCAAAAGTTTCTCTCATTGAATGGAAACCTCAATTTTAAGGCAATGTGCCTGATTTAGAGGTTTGCTCAGGGAAATTTCCATGTACTCAGCATGCGTTCATGATAAGACACTCCACTGGTTAGGTTGGTGCAGAAAATCATGGGTTCATTTGCATTCGTAAATGTCTGTGCCACGGGAAAGCAACGGACTCGACTCACGTTAACCCAGCTGCAGTGTTCTCACCACCCTGGTCGCCTTGAACCGGAGCATTTTCCTAACAATGTAGGAACACTACTCGAGAGTAACCCGTTGGACCAGATGTATGAAAGTCGGAGTTACATGGGTGACTTCAGTTGAATAACTATAGAATCCAACATGAAATCTGGATTTCCCACACAGGTGTTTCCCACATAGGTTTCCCTGGGGCTTCGGTTTGGACCTTCTGTCACCGTGGCCGTGCACCGGGGACAGCTTTCTGTCTTTCCAGGAGCAGATGCTGAATTTGAGAGATGACACACCAGCTGATTAGTTCTTCCACAAATAATGTTACACAGCTCAGAAATGTTTCCTGTGTACTGCAGTTACCAATGGACCACTAACGATAACGGTAATAATAATAATAATAATAATAATAATATCTAACTTTTATTGAGCGATGTATGTCTGCCAAGCACTTCTGTATGTATTAATTAACTTAATCCATATAAGGACCCTATGGAGTATGCATGATAGGTAACCCCATTTTACAGATGGGGAAACCAAGGCGCGATGGGGTCACTGGCCTGAGATCACGCAGTATGTGGGTGTGAATCCAGCAGTCGGTGTGGTCCTGAGCCTGCCCTCCTGACCACAAAGCCAGGCCACCCCCAGCAGGGGCACAAATAAGACAGATGAAAATGATTACGCCCACTCAGCTTTTTCGAAGATGTATTTAAAAGCTGTTCCTGCTTCCAAACATGAGCCTTGTAAACAGAGCTGTTAGGCAACAACCTTCACTTCCCACTGTTTATAACAGCAAACAACTTTTAACCAGAAAAACCACACTCTAGTTTTTGCTCTGCTTATCTTGAGAGATCTTCAAATAACATCACTGTGGTTAAAGTTCACTTTAAAATGTGATCTATTGACTTGGCCATGGATATCTGGAGCAAAAAATGATGATGAGCACCTGAGTCCTCAGAGACTCTTTTCTCTCTTTCTTTCTTTGTTTCTGTCTTTCCTTTTTTTGCTTAGTGAAAATGAGAATAGATCATGTTACTAGAAAGGAAACTTCTTTCATTTTAGAATATCAGAACTAAGCCTTTCAGGCTGCAGGCCCAGCTCCCCGTTGATTTACGGTTGTGGGTGAGTCCTGAGTATGGTGGATCGCTGTCCTCTCCTTAGATCCCAGGGGGAGTGATGGGGAGGAGATGTGAAGGTCAAGAGGAGGAGGGTTGAAGACGGTGACTCAGCAGAAGCACTCTGGCAAGGGAGGAACAAGACAGAGAGGACTGACCGACTGACTGGCAGACAGACAAACCCTCTTTCTGCTATTGGAGTGTCAGGCCACCCTGGCCCTGTGGAACAGGGTCACTGGAGTCAGACAGCCTTGGCCAGGGAAGACTGGGGAAGGTGCGGCAGCAGCCTAGGGAGTTCAACACGTCGAGGTGCTCCTGGAACACAATGGGTGCAGCCTAACCTGCCAGACATCCTGCCACCCTGGAGACAGTCCTGTGCAGAGAGGAGCCACGCTCTCCAAAACGGCGGCAGGACTTCCTCTGAGGTGCACTGCAAGCTGAGGAAACTCCTTCTAAAATGAGAGAAGTGCACAAACTAAAAAGAGCCTTGTGGACTCCAGACTCCAGCTTTCTTGGAGTCAGGGCACCTCTTCAGGGGCTGGCTGTCCAAGGCAGTCATGGATGGGTGGTGTTTTTTTTCTTGGGAAAATGACAGATAGAATCTTCTCTGCAAGTTAATAAATCATACACCGGCATTCTGGCCAGAGTAAGGATGATCCCAAATCGTCCTGGCTTCACAGGGAGGGTTTCTCCCATTGGTGGAGAAAATTACCTGTCATGTTATTTTATGCTCCTGCTTCTTGGCAATATAAGATGAATCCTGTTATGCCCAATCGAAGGGATTTTGGAAACTATTTTTCTGGGCCAAAATAAAAGGGCTCTTCCTTGAGACGTGGAAGAAAACACACAGAATAAAATGCAGTCTAAAGGGGTGGGCTTCAGGGGTCCCTCTTATGCAGAATGACGCTTGTCCAGGGGAAAAAGAAGGGGGCAGGTCTCCACAGCTTGCAACTCGCCATCCTGCATGTGACACCCACTCCTTGCCTCTCACCGCTCCGTGTCTAGTTCTGATGTGTTCTACCCCCAGTAATTCTAGGATTGCGCCCTTCTCATTCAAAGTGGCGAAGAAAGCTACTCTTTGTTAATGAAAATATGAAGTGTAAGACGTTGAAAAGGGACATGTAACATGCTAGTTGCAGTGCCAACAATAAATGTTGTGTGAATACCCCAGAGGAGAATACCTGCCCACCACATTGCTAAATATTTCAGACCTATTTAAATGAAGAGACACAAGCAGTTTCTAAAAGTGCCTGTTAAATGTAGAGACACAAGGATATGATTAGGAGATAAAGAGACACTCTGGGGCGAAGAAATCAACACCATTTCACGGCCCTGCTCAGAAGCCTATTCATTCTCCATTGCTTTTCAAATCGGAGCCCTAACGTCCCTGGGTGACCCCTGGGTCCTTTGCAGTCTGGCCTGGTCTCACTGCTCCGAGGGGGTCACTACACCCTTCATAGACTGCCCTCCCACCACCCAGCTTCACATTCCTCCCACACAGTCCTGCCCCCAAGCACACGGCCAGGCCTCTCCTCTCCCCGGGGACGCTGCCTCCTCTCCACCCCGGCACCCAAAGCCCGCTAGACACCCCCTCCTCTCCCTCCACTCTCCAAGCCCTGGCCATCTTTAACGTGTCAGCTACTAGCACACACATACAGAAAGGCCCTGTGTTTTCAATTCCTATAATTACATGCTTGGGTGCTTTACCTCATGTAATTATTCTGTAATTCCCGCAAGACAAAATTCCCTTGCAAAAAGTGGATTGCTTGAGAGCAGCAACCGAGTGGGGTCCCCATTACTGTCTCCCATGGATCCTTACATTACCGGCATCAGTAGTAAGGGCTTGGTATTGACTAGTACTCATAACAGCCACCGTTTTCGTAGCGCTTACCATGTGTCAGGTACCACGGCAAGTGCTTAGATGCACAAGTTCATCTAATCCTCATCAAAACTTTCAGTAGACAACCAACCCAATTAAAAAATGGGAAAAGGACTTGAACAGACACTTCTCCAAAGAGGACATACAGAAGATCCAGAGACACATGAAGAGATGCTCAATATCGTTAGCTATCAGAGAGATGCAAATAAAAACCACAATGAGATACCACTTCACACCAGTCAGGATGGCCATCCTAAATAAAGCAACAAACAACAAATGTTGGAGAGGTTGTGGGGAAAAGGGGTCCTTAGTTCACTGTTGGTGGGATTGCAGACTGGTATAACCATTATGGAAAACAGTATGGAATTTTCTCAGAAAAATAAAAATCGACCTGCCTTTTGACCCAACAATTCTACTGCTAGGATTATATCCTAAGAATCCTAAAACATCAATTTCAAAGAACCTATGC